AGAAAGCTAATTCTTATTCCTACCTGCTAGTAAGGATGGGGCTTCCAGTCTTTCTTGTATATTTTTGGCTTAGGAAGTGGGTAAGGCTGAGTCTGCTCATTTATATAAGTTGAGTATCTAATGAGCTTGGATGGATCAGGCATGCACTAACATCCAAAGCTCTTTCTTTTTTCTAGCCAAGCTGCCCTTTTCCAAGGCTAAGTTTAAAAGACCCTACATGGTTGGGGCTGCTGGGTAGTTCAGTCAGTTGGGCGTCCGACTTTGGCTGAAGTCATGACCTCATGATCTGTGAATTTAAGCCCTGTGTTGGGCTCTGTGCTGAAAGCTCAGAGCCTGGAGCCTGCTTCGTATTCTGTGTCTCCCTCTCTCTGCCCCTCCTCTGCTCATGCTCTGTCTCTGTCTCTCAAAAATAAACATTAAAAAAAAAAAAAAAGACTAGACATGGTCAAGTTGATATTTCACCAGTTACAGGGTCTGTGGTAAACAATAAATTTACTGTGGAGCGCCTGGATGGTTTAATTGGTTAAGCAACCGACTCCTGATTATGGCTCACATCATGATCTCACAGTTTGTGAGACTGAACCCTGTTGGGCTCTGTGTTGACAGCGTGGAGCCTGCTTGGGATTATCTATCTCCCTCTCTCTCTGCTTCTCCTTCTCTCTCTCTCTCTCTCTCTCAAAATAAATAAACATTTTTAAAAATTTAATAAATTTACTGTGATGCAAGAGCCTTATTGAGCAACTATTTTTGTGCTAGGCACTTGTGCATATGGAAAGGTCTGGCTGATTCCTGGGAAGTTGCAAATTAGAACTGGAAATAAACAGAAAAGAATGAAAAGAAAGCATGGGAAATTTAGTCTTTCTTCCTTTTCCCAAATTTGGGGGGAAAAAAATCTCTAATAAGCTATCACAATGTATTTTTCTCTATTAGGAACAAAGGTCAAATCAAAATACAAATAAACCTCCTTTCACAGAGTTACCATTTGAAATACTCTGAAGAAGTGCGAGAACCTCCAGGGAAGCACCCGTGGAAGTGACAGACTACATGGTAGAGTTGTAAGGAAAATGATTTGTCTCCATTGAGACTTAACACAGGAACGATAACAATAATAAAAAATTGTGAGAAGAGTCTCTGAGAATAAATTTATAACTGACAGAAGGGCCTGAAAGCCACCCAAATGGCATACTAAGAGACACAGTAGGATATTTTTTCATGGGAGAGTTTTAAGAAAAGAGTATTATCGCCTTCCAATTATGGCTTCATGTCGATTCTCCCCAAAGGCATGCGCACTTGAAACCCCTCCTGGCCCCGTAAGAGAAGATTCTATGGTACTGATGAGATTGTGTGCATTAGAATCACTTCTCCTGGAAAGGAGACGCTAAAGGGTACTCGAATAAAATATTAAAAATTATGAAGGACATAACAAAGGCCATTCATTCCTTTCTTTTCCCCAGACCCCATAATATGAGAACAAGGGTTATTTGATGAAATTAAAGAGTAGCAAATTAAGTGCTAATAAAATGAGATAGTCACTTATATAATTCATTACCATGGGAGGTCACAGAGGCAAATTCTGTGGCTGGATTAAATATGGGGCCAGATAATTTTATGACCACTAATGATATTTTTAACAGTGGAGGCTGATACTGCAAGAGAAGTCATCCTATTACATTCTCCAGTAGGTGGTTTGCAGGGACCTCTGGCGAGTGATGTCTGTGAAGTATGAGAGCAGGCCTTGTGGGTTCTAACCTTTGGTGGGGAATATTACTAAAAATTAGTGTTTAAGGTGGATGTCCTCAGGTATTCCATGCATGCCTCAATCCCAACTTCTCTTGTGGAGATCCACAAGTTCCTTTATTGGAAACAGCTGGGGTGCAAAGTTCCATTATACAAGGTGAGTAAGTTCCAGAGATCTAGTGTACGGTAATGTGACCATTGTTAACAATACTTTATCGTGTGCTTGAAATCTGCCCAGAGAGCAGATCTTAATTGTTCTCAGCACACACAAAAAAGGGAAAAAGAGAAAATGGTGTGAAGTGATAGATAGGTTAATCAGCTTGATTGTGGTGATTATTTCGCAGTGCATATGTATATCAAAACACCAAGATGTGTATCTTAAACATACACAATTTTTATTTGTCAGTTATACCTCAGTAAAGTGGTGGGGGGGAAAAGTAAATGCTCATTTTGTTTTAAAGCAGCTGGGAAAGGTGTTGCTCAGAATTCGATCATGGCTGGTGTCGGGGAACCATTCGGCTTATTTATTGAATGCCGCCCATGTGTCAGGCACTTGGCTTGGAGTTTTAAAAATCTGTGGGGAATGTGAACATTTCGGCAAATCAGTGTATTCAGAATGAAGGGGTCTGCACTAACGGTAGACTAGAGAGTAGCCTTAAGTGCAAAGAAACAAGGGAGTAGCTCAACTGGTATGGTTCGGAGAAGGTTCACAGAGAAGGTAGCATGCGAACTGAGTCCTAAAGGTTGGGTAGGAGTTCACTGTATTGGCAAGATAATGAAGGGCAGAAGGAGCAGACAGCGTGCACAGGTCCAGAGACAGAACGTGACAGGCTTGCCAGTGAACTCCTGATAGTTTAGAAACGCTGTACCACAGGGTTGGAGGCGCAGAGAGGGAGAAGAGGGTCATATGAGGACAGAGGCATCCAGGCGGTGGAGCGTTCTGGACCTCTCTCCAGTAGCAGTGCTTCCATTGGTGGTAGTGGTAGAGGAGAGGTGGGGAGGGGCTTCCAGAAGTGTCACATGACTGATAAAGGACGGCCCCTCAAAGCCTTGCCCCACCAGCATAGGCTTCCCTCTTTTCGCCACTGACAACAGTGGCTTGGTGGTGAGCCTTGTATTTCACACAACTCTTTGCCTCATTGGTTTTACTATCTGCCTGAAACGATCTTTACCACAAACCTAATCACCGTTACTAGTTTTTGTTTTTGTTTTTTTAAGAATCTCCCCTGTCTTTGGGTATAGAGGGGTTCTTATAGGTCTTATGATTAGGATGAGTCTGATGTGTCTGTCTGGTCTTATTTCTTTGGGCTTTACGTAGAACCCATCTCTGTGTAGGGAAGAAGAGGCAGATTTCATTTGCTTGACCTTAGACTCCCATTTTCTCTGTGATGTTGGCTCAGTAGACAAGCAGGAAAACACACAGTGTCTCTGAGGAGCAGATGGAGTGAAATGTTAAAAATCTGTTTTGTTAAATGATTTCAGCTAACAAAATAGTTTAATTGAAAAAAAAAAAGCACCCAGACTCTACTCTTTATTCAGTGATATTTAAATAAATATATCATTATTAATCACTCAAACTCTCACTTCGAATTTCTACATTAATATTGATAAGAGGAATCAATTGGAAATGAGATAATTTTTTTTGTAGAAACGTGGTCTTATCTCTGTGGTAGATGCAAATACTTTATTATTATTATTTGTGTTGTTATGTAGTGCAGTATGCAATCAGTGGTTTTCCCCATCACATTGTAGAGAATTGTGTACCGTAGTCCCCTCTTATCCATGGAGAATATGTTCCAAGACCACCCCTAGTCGATGCCTGAAACTGTGGACAGTGTTTGACCCTACATATATACCATATTTTTTTCTATACATATACACCTATGAGAATTTTTAATTTATAAATTAGGTACAGTAAGAGATTAACGGCAATAAGTAATAGTAAGATAGAACAATTATGACAATATGCTATAATACAAGTCATGTGAATGTGGTCTCTCTCAGAATATTTTATTGTACTGTAGTCACCCTAGTGATGATGTGAGATGATAAAATACCTATCTGATGAGAGGAAATGAGGTGAATGATGCAGACATTGTGAGCTAGCGTTAGGCTACTATTGACCTTCTGATACCTCAGGAGGAGGATCTTCGGTTTTTGGACTGCAGTTGACCACAGGTAACTGATACTGCAGGAAGCAAAATCACAGATAATTGGGACATATTTCCTAATGAATAACCTTTCCCACTGTGTTTTTTTTAAGCCTCTTCTAAGAAGAAGTTGCTGGAGGGATATAAAAATGAAGTTATTTATAGAAGGTAGAAGATGCTGGAGGGATATAAAAGTGAGGTTATTTGCAGAAGGTAAATGGGTGTGTGCTCAATTTACTCTAAGGTCACCTCTGTTATACAGAGTGCTGGTGGATAAAAGTGAAATGCATGTACACCACCCTGTGTTTGGTGTTAGATACTCAAAGATCAGATCATGACTCACAGTACAGTGAGCATAGGAGACCATTTTACCATGACTCCTGGCTGAACTAAATACAAGTTGTACAGTACAGCTGTATACAAAATGTTAGCTCTATCTGAGGAGCTTGGCAGTGTTTTCACCAAAGCTAACATGTAGGCTGGGTTCAAAATAGAAGTTACAGTTAACTAAGATGGAGGGTAGGATCGAGGTAGGAAAGAGCATTTCAAAACCGAAGCAATAGAGATGTCTCCCAGACTTTTGAACACCTTGTTTCTTTCTTTCCCTTTTTGAAACTTCTGTTCTATCAATGTTGTAATTTCTAATACATTTTGAAATAGTCTCCTTTGAGGAAAGAATGGGATATATCATATCAGCCTCTAGTAGAGACTAATCTTGTCAGTAGGGGGTAGTGATCAAGGGTTCCTTTAAGCCCCAACATTAATTCACTAGGCAGTTTATTAATCATTTGTTCTCCTGGACGGGGCACTTACAAATAAGTCTTTGCCGTCAGATGTGAGGCACATGGCAGGAGTAATGTAACATTTTCCTCTGTTAGATATGTCTGTGTAACGAATCAATACAAGTTCTTCCGGTTCCTCCTGTACTTGATTTTACATGAAGTATGCCTTTTCATGACCAAGCTTCTTTCAACAAGGCTATTGATTTGTAATTGTGCAAAAAAGAAACAGAAGCTTTATAAGAGCTTCGATGCAAAATGATATATCCTTCCAAGGACTGTGTGAAAATAGGTGAATATATTTGATAAAGAAGTGTTCTTCTTTCCCCTTTAGACCTTAGCTGGATCTCCAAAATACAGGTGAATCAGCCAGCAGTTCTGAGGCGTGCAGAGCAAATCCAGGCTCGCAGAATGGTGAAAAAGGAGTGGCAAGTAAGGTTTCTTCTTGAGCATTCTATTCCTGTAGTTTACAATGCCTGGTCTCTTCCCTCAAGGCCACAATATTGAATTTTGCTCAAGATGCATCTAAACCTAAAAGATTGCAGCTGTCCATGACTTATTTTAATAATTCATATATGATGATGATGGGTTGGAGAAAGATAACACATTTATCCGAACAAGTTAAACATCTTACCACTCTTGAGTGGCAAGGCCGCAAATGAATTTGAGGCATCTTTATTCATGAGTGAATTAAATGGCGTATTTCCTCAACACATTTATTCAGTTCCTTAGACATACCTTCTTTGGTTGTCTTCTATTTTAATTTTTAAACCATAACGTCTAAACCTGGTGTGCCTGCTGTTGAGGCCCTTAGGCATAAAAGTTGACCTTCTTTGACCACCGTGTTTACCTTACTATTAATTTTCATAAATCATTTTCCAAAATTCAAAAAGTGATGTTTCATGGGGTGCTTGTGGTCAGCATATCCTTCAGTGGATACTGACCAAAGATGTGCTGTGGATCACAGGACTAGAAGGAATTCAGAATTCATTTCTCAAGTGAGGCAAAATATTGCCATTGAATCCTTTAGGGTGACATTTCTCATTTGACCTATCCTTGGAAATATTCTAATTGAAAGATAAAAGGAAATTCATTAGAATGAATTACAAACTATGAATATTGTTTTAAAAATGGGGTTGGGATACAGTGAAAAAAAAAACAGCAAAGAAATTGGAGACTTCTTTTTTAATGTCTCATCCTAGATCTCAAGTGTGGAGGTAAAAATATCAGTTAGAGATCCTCTTATTCCCAAGTTCTCTCATATCATGGTAGCCATCAGGGCTCCTGGTGGATAAGATGGGGAGGTGTGATGTGGGGAGGCTTGCTCTATTAGGGATTTCACTTTGAGATAGCTACGGAAGGAAAATAGTTTTAAGACTACTCTGTACCCCTCTTTTATTTTGTTCTCTGCAGTGTTCATCTTTTTGGTCCCTTTTGAGCAATGTCTATATCATATAGAGAATGACATGCCTGAGAACAGTGTAGATGTCAGATTTTAGCACAAATGTTTGTCTAATGATTTCCTGCTAACTAACTGGGTTGTTGACGATTTTTTTTTTTTTTAATCTTGTTTTTACTTTTCTTAAACCAGGCTGCTTGGCTCCTCAAAGCTGTTACCTTTATAGATCTTACTACACTCTCAGGTGATGACACATCTTCCAACGTTCAAAGGCTTTGTTATAAAGCCAAGTATCCAATCCGGGAAGATCTCTTGAAAGCTTTAAATGTGCATGATAAAGGTAATGTTGTTGTGTATAATCTGTCTGTGTTTACCCCTTTACAGTAAGTACTAATTACTAAATCTAAGAGGACTTAAGACAAGATTCAGCTGCTTAAATGATAATAGCAGTAAGATCCACTGGTAGATTTGTGTACATAGCAAATAATTGAGATTCTTCTCTAAAAAACAGCAGGGGGAGAATCTGAATCTCTTTTTTAGGTCAGTTCTTCCCATCATGGATTAAAGTTGCTGGTAGAGAGTTTCTTTATTTTTCTTTCTACTTCTTCAGTGTGGGAAATTTTCCATCTAGTGACTCTAAAATACTGATTCTCATTCCCTAGCCACATGTGCAAAAGCCAGTCTCATTACTTAATAATCACATCTCATACATAAAGTATTTTCTGTGAGTAAATGAAATACTTTTGAGAATAAAATGCAAATGGGGAATATTGCATGCTCGTATATTAGGTTAGATCTTTTGAAAAAAGTTATATTCACTCTCTTGGTATACATGAAAGAAAGGACTTTCTAAAGTTGCCATAAGTTTAGAATGTTAACATTTTAGGAAAGGAGGAGACCTTTCTTTGAGAGTTGATCCTCTGTATCTAAATGAGGAAACCGAGATCTGGAAGGCTAACAGCATTTCCGGGATGATGTGCGTATCACTCACTGGGCTGGTTTTAGGAGCTTTTCATGGAGAGTTGCTTCATGATCCCCGAGTGCCTGTCTGTAATGAATGCAGCTAGAGATGCTGCTTTGGTCCAATGCTGGTGTTTTATCCCAAGTAATTTGTAGATAATTTGTAGACCTATAATGCCACAGCTTTTGAAAAATATTTATGATGTTTCTTTTGAGTTGACAATAAAAACACCACCTGTTTGTAGGTGTTGTTATACAAAGTTATTAAAAGTAACAGCCTTGAGGGAGGGGCTGAAAAAAGTAACAACTTCATATGAGTCTTACGCTCTTGTTTTGTTTTATATTGGCTATTTGAATTTTATTTGATTTTTTTAGATTTAAGAGCTTATTCTTCCAAATAAGGGCTCCAGATTCAGATTTTATTATTTCTTGCAACAGAGGGAATAGGATCAATTAAATGTCATTTTGCTATATTACCTTGTAAGGTTCACGTCCATTTTTTTTTCCATCCACTGTCTGTTTGATGTAGAAATCTGGATTTTGTTATCTACATGAAATAAAATAATGTCACTGAGTCAAGACCATTATGTTTACCATTTAGGAATTTTTAAAAAGTGGTATTATATTATCCTCAAAGAGTAGCATCATGATTGTTTTATTCCATGACTTTAACAGTTAGAAAATGACCCATATTGTCAAGACCTGGAAGGGAATGTGGAGAGTCAAAGCTTTTTCTTTATTAAATTTTTTTTTAATGTTTATTTATTCTTGAGAGAGAGAGAGAGAGATCAGGGGAGGGGCAGAGAGAGAGGGGGACACAGAATCCAAGCAGGCTCCAGGCTGTGAGCTGTCAGCACAGAGCACGACGCGGGGCTCGAACCCACGAACCGTGAGATCATGACCTGAGCCGAAGTCAGATGCTTAACCAACTGAGCCACCCAGGCGCCCCTAAAACTTTTTCATTCAGTGCAGCGTCATGGGGGAGTTATTTTTCCTGCCATTTTGATTTCTGCCAGTGTGGTGGTATAAATAATAATTAAAAGCATATTGTACAAATTGAACTTCCGCTAAAGTAGGCTGTTACGATTTCTTTCTTCATAGGCCTTACTACAGCCGCTGTTTGTGTTTATCCCGCACGAGTGTGTGATGCTGTGAAAGCACTGAAGGCAGCCGGCTCCACCATCCCAGTGGCTTCGGGTAAAATTGTTTTGGCTTTGCTGTTGTCTCTCAACCTGTTTCCGGTTCTTCACCTCAAAACACCTGGAGGCTTTATATATAATTTTATATTATTTTAATTAGTTTTATCTATTTAATTATTTGTTTTTACTCATTGTCTCAGTATCTGATTGCCTGCTAAGTCGCTGACCATGTGAATTCCCAAGAATACAGAAGCGTTTCCCTGTCCTTAAGGAAACTTAGTTGTTTAGGAGGAATAATCAAGTTTAAAACATCATCATGCAGGATATATAGTATTATATGTATGCAAAATATGCTAATAGAGATATGCAGAAGCTACACTTGTAATTCTGAGCAAGGAGTGATTTATTTTGCAGAGGTTGGTGACAGAGAGTAAGGGGATTCTTCATAGAGGAGCTAATAGCTGCATAGGGTCTTAAAGGGTAAGGAGGCATGTTGGTGAGTTAGCGAATGATTTTAGACAGAGGAACTAGCGTGTGTGAAGGCACAGGAGTGTGTTCAGGGAACTGTACGTGGCTTGCAGTTGTTGGGTCTAAATTGGGGCAAGGGGGCAAGGGGCTCTGGGAGTTGAAGCTGGAGAGGTAGATCAGGGCCGGATCCCATAGGGAAACTAGGCTCGGCAGTGGCCTTTGGGCTCATTCTGGTGATGGGGAAGATACTGCAAGGTTTTGAGAAGAGGTTATGTCATGATCAGCTTTATGCTGTAGTGGGTCAGGAGATGGTACTGGACACATTAAGGAGGGGTGACAAGATGTTAGGGGGACTTATCACAGTCCCTGTGGGAGGTGAGGAGAGCCACTCCAAAGCCTGGGAGATAAAGTAGAGAGGGTATGTTCAGGAGTTATTGGCTTAAGAGAGACTCAGTAGGACTTGGCATGAAGGAAAGAAGAGTCTTAAAAGCTTCTGTGTAGCTGTGTGTGAGTATATGGATGGACAGATATAAAGTTAGATTGTACTTTTAGAAGATGTTAAGAGGAATATCCTGGGGCCTTGAAAAAGGAGTCTAAAAAGATGATTAATTTATTTTATTAGGGATACATCAAAAGAAACATAGTATACAGTATTGATATACAAGCCATTTGTGAGGATTCCCACAGTATTTGGCAGCTGCCTTAATTTTTCATCAGCTTCTGTCAATTCAGCTTTTCTTTTATACAACAGGGAAACGTGCTCTCCTGTAAGATAGCAGACCCAAGGAATTTAATAACATCAAGGAAATACAAAAGGTTATCTTTAGTCATAGAAATGGAATTAATGATGCACGTGTAAAAAATATAATAGGTTTTCAGAAGTGTGGCTGTATTTTCTTTTCGTTTTTGTTTTTTGTTTTTTTTTTGTACTTGGTCCTGTTCTTCCCACCTCACCCCTGTCCCAATTTTGTGGACAAATTAGGTACTTTTCCCTCCTGCTGTCTCTTCCCTCTATTCTCATCTGCTTGGCTATTCATTTTAAGATAGGCAGTGGGAAAAACCTATACTGCAATTTGGTTACCACAGCTGTAAGTGTGAGTGAGTAAATCAAGAATACAATGATAGCCAACTTGATTAGGAGTAGGATCCATAATTAACCAGGGTCCATCAAGATAGAGCTATAGCTGGGGCGCCTGGGTGGCGCAGTCGGTTAAGCGTCCGACTTCAGCCAGGTCACGATCTCGCGGTCCGTGAGTTCGAGCCCCGCGTCAGGCTCTGGCTGACGGCTCAGAGCCTGGAGCCTGTTTCCGATTCTGTGTCTCCCTCTCTCTCTGCCTCTCCCCCGTTCATGCTCTGTCTCTCTCTGTCCCAAAAATAAATAAACGTTGAAAAAAAAAAAAAGATAGAGCTATAGCTACTGTTTTATGACTCGGTGTGACGATAACATATTTTCTTAGTATCTATTTACTTAGAGCCCCCTCATGAGCATCACTGCAGCAACTTACTTTCAGGTTTTCCAGACGATGCAATACTAATATTTATCCTAACACCAATAACACCATATGAGATGACCTTCTATTTCTTCACACTTCACTTTGCAACATAAGCATGAAGCTCTTTAGTGTCATTAATGCTTTAGTCTAAATGCTGTTTGTTGTTGTTTTTTGTGTTTTTGTATCAAACTCCTTGTTGAGAAACCAACTAAAATTTGTCTTCTTTCCTTCCTCCCTTCCTTCCTTTTTTCCTCCCTTCCCTCTCTCTTTGCTTCCTTCCTTCCTCCCTCCCTCCCTTCCTTACTTCTTTTTCCCTCTCTTTACTAGTGGCCACTGGCTTTCCAGCTGGACAGACTCATTTAAAAACACGATTGGAAGAGATCAGATTGGCTGTGGAAGATGGAGCTACGGAAATTGATGTGGTAATTAACAGGACCTTGGTGCTGACAGGCCAGTGGGAAGGTATGTGCAAGTCTTTACCTAAGAGGGAGGCCTAGTTCTGTCCTAGTGAATGAAATGGAGACGATTGGAAAAGAGGCAACATGTTTTGGAAGTCACTGTTCTAGATTACAAGTCACTAGATCACAAGGCGAATTTCAGAGAAAACACGGCTGGTATTGCTCATCCTTGTTCCCCTCACAAATCCTAGACAGTTGCCCACCTATGTGAACTTTTTAGATCCCTTCAAGTGCTTAGGTGAGTGGTTATTTCTATGCAGTAGACTGTTAACTTTTATTCTGTCCTCCAGTATTTTATTACTCAATACATAAATCACTCTAGGCAAGTCATTTATGCAGAGTTTAATATGTGGAGGAAACTTCCCTTTTTTATGTTAATCTTTGTGGATTTTGTGGAGGTGGGATTAGTAGTAAGTCTGCGAAGTCTGCTTTATTCCTGCTATTCTTACACATAGTTCCTGGGGGTTATTATATTTACCTTTGAGATTCATAATTTACTATCGCACCAATTAAGAAAAACATTACCCATTTCAATAACAAACTTTTTATAATTAAATATTAAAAAATAGGTTTGACCTGTGCCTTAAATATATTTTGTATACTAGAGATGGTTGATAGCTAAAATAAGTACAATTTTCTATTTCAAAAGAATCATAAAAGTAGTTCAACTAAAAATTTTTTTAAAGCTTTTTTTTTTTTTAAGTTTATCTATCTTGAGAGAGACAGGGATAGCGCACAAGCAGGGGAAGGGCAGAAAGAGAAGAAGAGAGAGAGAATCCCAAGCGGGCTCTGCACTGTCAGTACTGAGCCCAACACGGGGCTCCAACTCATGAACCATGAGATCACGACCTGAACTGTAGTCAAGAGTCAGATCCTTAATCAACAAAGCTACCCAGGCGTCCTGCAACTGACACCCTTTTTCAAAGTTTAAGTAAACAGTAGGATTATATTTAATGTATTTTTTCTTAACCTACTTATTGGACTTGCCAGTATCTCATGGATATCTTTCTGTGAGTCTTTAAAAAAAATTTTTTTTTTGATGTGTATTTATTTTTGGGAGGGAGACAAGATGCAAACAGGGGAGGGGAAGAGAGAGAAGGAGACACGGAATCTAAAACAGGCTCTAGGCTCTGAGCTGTCAGCACAGAGCCTGACATGGGGCTCGAACTCATGAACCGTGAGATCATGACCTGAGCCAAGTTGAACGCTTAACTGACTGGGCCACCCAGGTACTCTTCTTTCTCTCCGTCAGTCCATCTAACTTAACATCTATAAATCCTTTTTTTTTTTTTTTAAATGTTTATGTATTTGTGTGTGTGTGTGAGAAAGAGAGAGAGAGCATGAGCAGGGGAGGGGCAGAGAGAGAGAGAGAGACACAGAATCTGAAGCAGGCCCCAGGCTCTGAGCTGTTAGCACAGAGCCTGATGCGGGTCCAAAATCTGCAAACTGTGAGATCACAACCTGAGCCAAAGTCGGACGCTTAACCAACTGAGCCACCCAGGTGCCCCTAACATCCATAAATCCTAATTCCATTGTTTATTCATTAAGAATTGCTTTTGGTTATGGAGTAGGCAAAGATTCAGTCAGTAGTTTAAATACTTCAGGATTTATTTTCTTATACAAAGTCTAGAGGTAGGTATTTCAGGGGTGACCTATGCTACTTTTTTCTTTTACTTCCAAAGTGTGTGGCTTCTGCTCTCATGCTTAAGGGCATGCCATTCTCTAAGATGGCTTCTGAAGCTCCTGGCTTTCCACTCATTTCCTAGATAATAGGAAAGAAGGGCTGTCCTATCCTAAAAATCTCATACAACATTTTTGCCTACACCTCCATGGCTCAAACTGAGTCAGTGGCCATCTTGGCTGCAAGTGAAGCCGGGAAAATGTAGTCTTTTAGCTTAGAATATTAACATTCCCAATAAGTTAGATGGTGTACATTTCTGTGCCCAGATGGAAAGGACTGAGGGAAGTTGTGGCAGAGAAGGACAGTTTAGCCGTATGGAGCTAAACGGGGTCTGACAGTAAAAAGCTTAACAGCAAAGGGCCAGGTGAAACAACAGTAACACAAATTTTTAAATAAAAAGATACATGAAGTCAAAAGGCACAGTGCCATTAGCTGTGGGGCAGGTCATCTCAGAGATCTTAGCAGCACTGAGAGTATCACTGTGATGCAGTCACTGATACCACAGTTCTGAATGATCTAGAACAAATGTTAAAGCCATTCCTATTGCCTTGTACTCCCAACTATACTTCATCAACATTTTTAATCCTTGCCAGGTTTAAATTCTTGACAGTTCACAAATATCTTTTTGTGCTTTTGATTTTTGTTCCTTTTCCTATGGTTCATGTGAGCTTTGACCAATTGCAAACATTTTTTTAAGTTCTTTTTTTTTTTTTTTTGAGAGAAAGTGCACATGCATGTGAACAGGAGAGCGGCAGAAAAATGGAGAGAGAGAATCCCAAGCAGGCTCTGTGCCGTTAGCATGGAGCCCAGTGCAGGGCATGATCTTATGAACTGTGGAGAGGTGAGATCATGACCTGAACCGAAATCAAGAGTTGGATGCTTAACCAACCAAGCCACCCAGGCTTTTAAATAGATGTCTCTTGTCCCTATATATTAATTCTTGTTTCCTTCTAGTCATAGATTTCAATTAAGATTTTGGGCCAGAGTAAGAGGAGAAAAATGAATAAACATAATATTTAAAACAAATTTGGAAATAAACTATATGATTTAGTTAGATAAAAAAACTATATGTCCTATATCTTTTATTTAACAGTTGTAGACATAGAAGTATGGTTTCTATTATAACATGTGCTCTTGTCTCTAGAATACTAATTGGGAAATAAAATATAATAGGAGATGAGTTTTGATGTAATTGTCCTTTAATGAACTAGGAATGGTTGTTTTTAGGAACTGATAATTTCCTAATAACAGGCATTCATGTAAAATATAATAACACATCTTTGTCCTAGACCATACTTTTCTATTAACTTTTTTATGGTGTTAATAACCTCTTGACCCAAAACAAATTGAAAAGGAACATTTAATACTGGAAATTTAATTCTAAATAGAAACCTGCAATGACTGAGGCCTTTTTTTCACTGTGGTATTTTGTCTTAATTTGCCTCAATTTGATTATGTACTGTATTTTTCAGTGTCATGCTTTGATATTAGCTGTTTACTAAAATATGAGCCTAGAATTGATTTCTTTTTTTTTTTAATTTTTTTAACGTTTATTTATTTTTGAGACACAGAGAGAGACAGAGCATGAACGGGGGAGGGGCAGAGAGAGAGGGAGACACAGAATCGGAAACAGGCTCCAGGCTCTGAGCCATCAGCACAGAGCCCGACGTGGGGCTCGAACTCACGGACCGCGAGATCGTGGCCTGAGTCGAAGTTGGACGTTAACCGACTGAGCCACCCAGGCGCCCCTAGAATTGATTTCTTGGAATTTGCTGATGGAAATGTCTGTGAGGCTATTATACGTTCAAACGTTCAAGTCTAGATTCCTCTCCTCTCTGTGCGCTGAGGTGTGTAGGACCCTGGTTAAAGCACAAAAGAAAGAGTCCCATTTTTAAACCTGGCCATTCAGACTGTATCCTAATCACTGCTCATGGTCACAGGGTCCACAGTTTCGGGCATGAACTTAAAGAGACTGGAGGGGGGCCCGTATTCCTCTTCTTTAATTCTCCTTGGTGACAATTTAAAGTTTCTTTCTCCTCAAGCTTCTAATTCTTCTGCCCATCTTGAGGCTCCTTCACTCTCAGCAGAAGACCCACCTGCTACTTTCTAGAGAAAATAGAAACCAGTAGACAGGGTCTCCCTCGAGGTCCTTGCATCAGCTCTGCTTTCCTTTGTTCCTCCTTTTCCTTCCTCCTAAGTCCAGTCCCTCCTCTGTGCAGTGGCTCTCATCTCCTCCCACATTTTCAGAGGCCTTACTCCATTTGTTGGCCATTTTTTTCTCCTGTATCTTTCATCTGTCTCTACGATTTATTCCCATCAACACCTAAACATAATGTAAGCTTTTCTTATCCATTAAAAAAATGCTCACATGTCAACCTTCCCCCTCATCTCTAGCTAAGTCTACCTTTCTGTTCTTCCCTTCATGGCTACAATTCTTAAAAGAGTTATATTTACTTGTTTCCCTTGAATCTGTACTAATCAAGATGCCAATGTCCTCTTATTTTCCTATGCCCAGGGAATATTCTGCAGTTGTTTGTTTAGCTCTACTGTTCAGCATTTGACACAGTGCACAGTCCTTCTGGAAACACTCTTTTTGCCTGGCTTTGGTAATCCTAAATTCTTTTTTCCTTCAAGTTTCTGATGACTCCTGTGTCCCTGTGTCTTGTATGCAAGGTCCTCTCTCTCCTCCGTCATCCCTGAAGTGTTGGCGGTCTTCAGGTTGGGTCCCAGCAAGCTCTCAAACTTCTTTCACTTTGCACACTCTCCCTTGAAAACCTCCTGACCTCTCCGATTTCAGCCACATTCCCTATACTGAAGACCACAAAACCTCCCAAGTACCGGAACCTACATCTGCTTGACTCCAGAACTTATGCTCAATTTCCCCACTAAACCATGCTGCTTTTCATGCGTCATTTTTATGTAAGTAGAACGGTTGAATCTTGATCAGATCAGAGAATCTAGCCATTTTAGAAAGAAATCCATTAAAAAGTATTTGATTTGAACACTTTCTCTTAAATACAGGTTAGTTTCCAAACTATGGTGTTAGTGATTGGATTGTTCTGGAGTACAGTTGATGCTCTCTGGCTGCTGAAAACCCTGGAGGTGATCCTCCCCATAGCTAACACTTCAGACCCCTGTGCCTTTTGACTTCATATATCTTCTATTTAAAAAGCTTTGTTCTTGTTGTTTCGCCTGACCCTTTTCTGGTAAGCTTTTTACTGTCAGATCCTGTTTTGCTCTTTATAGTACACTGTCTTTCCCTGCCTGTACTTCCTTTAGTCCTTCCTGTCCGGGCACAGAAACTTACACCATCTCACTTATCC